CTCTACCATTTCGTGGTCACTCTGTCCAAGACAGTTCCTGACCTTCACAAACTTCACTTATCTATGTAGTAACCTTTAACTGTGTTTCATTTGTCAAAACCATGTTTAAATTGCTTCTGTCGTAATAAACCTTTTTTAAATTCTTGTCTTAGTTTCAGCTGGGACAGAATTGTTTTCTTCAGAGTGTCTGCTATGATGCAGCATTTTGATTCTAGGAGAAAACTGTTGATAACACTGATGCTTATAGTTTCTGCTAAGCAGTGTTGTACAGAGCCAAGGCCATTCTCAGCAAAGAGCTCAAAGAACTGGGAAGGAACAGGATTAGGACAGCTGACTTGAACTGGCCAAAAGGACATTTCATACCATGTGACATCAAGTGGAAGGAGGTTTGAAGGGAGTGGGAGTTCATCCATTTCTCTTCTACTGTTCAGGGGCTAGCTGGGCATCAGTCAGTGGGTGGTGAGCAATTGCTTGAGCATCACTTGTTATATACATTTATATATATATTTAGTCATAACTATTATCCTTTTTCTCTATCATCTTAGCAAATAGTTTTATCTCAACCCACGGGTTCTACTTTTTTTCCCCCTGATTCTCTCTCCCACCCCTCCAGGAAAGGGAGTGAGTGAGCAAACAACTATGTAGTGATTATCCAACTGCCAGGTTGAATCAGAACACTCATGTAAAACAGGTCTTCTTACCATAGCAGATGTTTTTAGCCTACTTTTGAATTCAGGAAAAAAATAATGATTTCTTGAGTTCTGTCTTTTGACATCTATTTTGCCCTGTTGAACAGCAGTTGTTGGAGAGTGCTGCTTGAATGCTTGAATTGGGACATAAGTGGATACCATTTGGCTTGTTTTCAAGACTGACCTGGGCTGGTGTGGCTCAAATGTTTAGGTTTTTTTTTGTTGTTGTTTTTTTTGTCTTGTTACTGTTTTGCTTATAAGGAACTGTACAAGGTTGTATGGTTGTATTGTGGTTCTGCATGGACACTGATACATAAAATGAACTGTTTAATGGCCTTAATTGAAATAATTTTCTTCTTTTTCCCTGTAACAATAGCTTGTTCTTCTTTTGTTCTGTTTCCTGACTATAATATTTTGCTTTTTCCAGGCTCACATTAAATTTCCTATTGACTACCCATATTCACCACCTACCTTCAGATTTCTAACCAAAATGTGGCACCCCAACATTTATGAGGTAAGGTTTCTTATGTTGAGAAAAAACGAAATAGAAAAAGAGTTTTTCTCAGGCATGAGAGAAGGTTTTCTAGTTCCTTAACTTAAAGAAATATTGATGATACTAAATATCTCTAAGCCATAACTGAAGTGGTTAGCTGTTTGTGTTAAATGTTAGCTTCATGGTTGAACAGTTAATTCCTAAGACCTGTAGGAAATGCTGGTCTTGTAGGCAGGGATGGAACCTTTCTCTCGCTGGCAAGTTCAGCAGGCAGCCCCAGCTGATGCCCTGTATTGTGAGTGCTGGCGGTTTTAGGGGATTCTTGGATGAAGGCTGTTGCTGGGGTCTTATCCTACTGTGATACTTAAGCAACTAGTGGTTGTCAGTACATTATCGCTTTCAGCATATTCCACAGAATTATGTGATGCAACAAGACATAACAGGAAACAGTCTTCTACGGCAACCAGCCTATGAATGAAGGAGTTTGGACTTGGGGCACTGACTGCAAGATGATCTGCAGCTGAGCTGGAGTTCAGCTTCAGATGTCTTGTGCAGCCTGATCATGATTCAGAGAAGCCTGAGCAGATACCTCTGGGCTAAATGTCTGATAGCCAAATTGAAGCAGACCTTAGTTCAGTGCATGTATGGATCATGCTCAAAGGGCTGTGGGCTGTTGCATCCATAACTGGATAATGGTACAAGTAATAGCAGCTTCATTGCTCTCTATAACTTCCTGAAGGGAGGTTGTGATGAGGAGGGGTTTGGCCTCTTCTCCCAGGCAACAAACAGGACCCGAGGAAATGGCCACAAGTTGTACCAGAGGAGGTTTAGGTTAGACATGAGGAAAAACTTTTTCTCTCAGAGAGTGGTCAGGCACTGCAATGGCTGCCCAGGGAGGTGGTGGAGTTGCTGTCCCTGACAGTGTTCAAGAGGTGTCTGGATGAGGAACTATGAGATCTGGTTTAGTGCTTGTGGTAGCAGTGGTGATGGGAGGATGGTTGGACTAGATGATCTTGCAGGTCCTTTCCAACCTTGTGATTCTATGATTCTAAAATGCTGTGTGGGGTTTTAGCTGCTTGCCAGGTTAAACCACAACACTCTGGCAAATACAAACAATGGAGGATGATGTATTTATCTTTCAAAAACATATGTAGGGTGAACCCTCCCTTTGACTACAATGATCCCTAAAATCTTGTGCTGATCTCCCCTTGTCCTGCTGTTATCTACTCTTTCAAAGAGTTGATTCCCCTCCTGTTTGTAGGCTCCCTTTAGGTACTGGAAGGCTGCAATGAGCTCACCCTGCAGCCTTCTTTTCTCCAGGCTGAACAAGCCCAGCTCCCTCAGCCTGTCTTCACAGGGGAGGTGCTCCAGTCCCCTGATCATCTTCGTGGTCCTCCTCTGGACCCTCTCCAACAGCTCCCTGTCTTTCTTGTACTGGGGGCTCCAGACCTGGACACAGTACTCCAGATGGGGCCTCACAAGAGCAGAGTAGAGGGGGACAATCACCTCCCTGTCCCTGCTGGCCACCCATCTGCTGATGGAGCCCAGGATCCCATTTGCTTTCCGAGCTGCAAGAGCACACTGCTGGCTCACGTTAAGTTTTTCATCTATCAAGACCCCCAGATCCTTCTCTGCAGGGCTGCTCTCAAGGACCGCTCTTTCCAGTCTGTATGGATGCCTGGGATTCCTCCGGCCCAAGTGCAAAACTCTGCACTGTGCTGTGTTGAACCTCATCAGGTTCACCCGGGCCCACCTTTCAAGCCTGTCGAGGTCCCTGTGAATGGCATCCCTTCCTCCCACCGTGTCGACCGCACCACTCAGCTTGGTGTCGTCAGCAAACTTGCTGAGGGTGCACTCAATTCCGCCATCGATGTCATTGATAAAGATGTTAAAGATCACCGGTCCCAAGACAGACCCCTGGGGGACACTGCTCCTAACCAGCCTCCACCTGGACATAGAACCATTAATCACCAAATTCTCAAACACATAACATTGATCATTGCAAAAAAGAAATCTAAAATCCTTGCTTCCCTCTTTATTTTTATATTGTAAAATATTTGTTGGCCCACATGCTGCTTACCTGATGATGTGAGGAACTTCCCCCAGGTGCTGCAATGCTTTCTTCTGGTCAGCAGAACTACATTTTCCTGGGAGATATTTAAAGGAGAAACTGTGTAAACTAGAGGAAATGATGAATTAAGCCAGAATAAGCTGTAATCATAGCTTCACTTTATGCTGTGGTTTAACTCAGCAGGTAGCTAAATGCCATGCAGTTGTTCGTGCACACATACGCCCCAGGGATGGGAGAGAAAATCAGAAAAAAAAAAAAAGTAGAACTCATGGGTTGAGATAAAAACTATTTACTAAGACAGAAAAGGAGGAGGAAAATAAAGGTAAAAGTAATGATAATAATACACAAGACAAGTGATGTGCAATGCAGCGTTCACCTCTTACTGACTGATGCCCAACTAGTCTCCAAGTGGTTGCCCCCCCAGCCAACTCCCCACAGTTTTAGTTTTTCACAAGGCCATATGGTATGGAACATCCCTTTGGCCAGTTTATGTCAGCTGTCCTGGTTCTGTCCCCTCCCAGCTCCTTGCCCCCCCCCAACCCCCTCACTGGTGGAACAGTATGAGAAGCTGAAAAACTGAAATGTCCTTGGCTCTGTGCAGCATTGCTCAGCAACAACTAAAACTTGGGCATGTTATCAACATTGTTTTTTTCCTAAATCCAAAACATAGCATCATACCAGACACTATGAAGGGAAAATCAACTCTGTCCCAGCTGAAACCAGGACACTTGAGTAAGATTAATTTTCATCTTAAAATGATAATAAAAATATTTATGGATTTCACAAGTTTTTTGGAGTCCTTAAAAAAAGAAACCACTTTATAACAAATGCCGGGTCCTGCACTTTGGCCACAACAACCCCAGGCAATGCTACAGGCTTGGGGCGGAGTGGCTGGAAGACTGTGTAGGGGAAATGGACCTGGGGGTGTTGATTGATGCTCAGCTGAACATGAGCCAGCAGTGTGCCCAGGTGGCCAAGAAGGCCAATGGCATCCTGGCTTGCATCAGGAACGGTGTTGCCAGCAGGAACAGGGAAGTGATTGTCCCCCTGTACTCAGCTCTGGTGAGGCCACACCTTGAGTACTGTGTCCAGTTCTGGGCCCCTCACTGCAAGAAAGACATTGAGGCCCTGGAGCGTGTTCAAAGAAGGGCAACAAAGCTGGTGAGGGGTCTGGAGCACAGGCCTTATGAAGAGTGGCTGAAGGAGCTGGGATTGTTCAGTGTGGAGAAGAGGAGGCTCAGGAAGACCTTATTGTTCTCTATAACTACCTGAAGGGAGGTTGTAGCGAGCTGGGGGTCAGCCTCTTCTCTCGTGTAACTGGTGATAGGACTGGAGGGAATGGCTTCAAGCTGTGCCAGGGGAGATTTAGGCTGGACGTTAGGAAATACTACTTCTCTGAAAGAGTGGTCAGGCACTGGAATGGGCTGCCTAGGGAGGTGGTGGAGTCACCAACCCTGGAGGTGGTCAAGGTACGTTTGGACGTTGTGTTGAGGGACATGGTTTAGTGAGTACTATTGGTGGTAGGTGAATGGTTGGACTGGATGATCTTGAAGGTCTTTTCCAACCTTGGTGATTCTGTGAACAAACTGTTCCACAAACATAAGCGTATGCTTGGGTACTCAGCAGCTCCAATGCTACTTTGCTTTTTATAGTTATGTTCTTCATTAAAAAATTGCTTCAAAATGATGCTGGCTTGTTAAAATGGTATACTTGTCAGGTTCAGTGAGTGGATATGGATCACAAGCCTCCAACGTTGAATTAGAATCTCATTTGACTGTGAAATGTCATTGTTAATCATGGTGAGCTGAAATATTTGGGGAGACTTCAGGTGAGCTGTTGCTATCTGTAGCTGTGATCGCTGGCTAGGGCTCAAAGGTACAGGTGCTATTGCTGTGAGCAGTGCTACTTTGTCATCCAACTCCCGTCAGTAGAGCAGTATTGGAGGGTCCTTAGGATGCAGCTGAGACCTAGCACTTAGGGAACTGCCAGTTTGCAGTCTTGAACAAAGGTGATGATGATCAGATCAGATGATCAACCTGTACCTTAGGTCAGTGACAACAGACAGCATGAGTGCTGCTTATCAGTTGGAGCTGTGCCACCTAAAGGTGTAGGATGCCTCTGGGAACTTGTAAGTAATCCCCTAGCTAGCTGCAAGAGGCAGTAAACCATCAGGGCCTGGGGAAGCACTGTCTGTTATCTTGCCCTGGGCCTATCTGTACCTTCACCCCAGCCTGAACAAAGGCACTCCTCAGACTCCATGAGCCTGAAGTCAGCTTTGCTGGGTGATATCAGCTGTGGTGAATACTGCTATAGTACTCTTACAAAGCTATCTTGTCAGGATGCTGTTGCTGAAAGAGTAGGTTTTACAGACTTGTTAGTTTTTATAAATGGTAGGCATTAGTCACCACATATATTGAGGAGTATGTGGCTGTATGGCTTTCTCATGCTGCCAAAGTGTTCTTCCTCTGGCATACTGAAAGTGATTTTCAGTGAAACCTTTGGAGAGCATCTCCTGCTTTTTCACTTCATATTTCAAACAGCTGTCTTACAGGAAACGGCCTAAGCCTGCCTAGCATCATCTGTTCAACCTCTGTGTATCCCTGGAGAAGTACTGTTTTGATACCTGAGCTAGGATAGAATGCAGAATCCTTGGTTGTAAAGATTCCTGTAGTTAACTCAGTTACCACTGTGGGGGGAGGGGAGTTAATCCTACTTTAGGTCTCACATGACTAAAGTTCATTTCTATCACTATGGTAATACGTGCTGTCTAGAGACTAACTTACTTTCCTGTGACTTTACTACTATTTTTGACTGTTTTGTTATGTTTTTTTAAACTTCTTGGCCTGAGATTGTTTTGTATCTGTTCTGCTCGTGAAGAAGCAAAATTGCTTCCGACGGGTTCTTGGCAGTACCAGGCAAAGTACTCACACATAGGCCAATAATCATATTAAAAAAAAAAAAAAATACACCCCAAAATTGAAGGGGTTCCTTGGATATACTAGTACTTCTTCCCAAAAAACAGCCTAAGTCCATAAAATACTTGTTCTTCCATGGCTGGCCCTTATATGAGTCCAGGGCGGTTTCACCCTGGGTTCACCCCTTCTGGTCACATGGTGAGCACAGGTGCAAACAATTTGCTTGTGCTCCCTGGGCCAGCCACACCCCTTCACCTGGTGCTCAATCACCTGTTCAAGACATGACCTAACAACCGTTTCTCTACAGTATCAATTTACAGACTAACTCTCTAAGCAAGAGAAGCTTTTGAACATATTAATACAGTAAATCTAGGAAGAATTGAGAACTGTTAGCAGTTCCTGCATGTTTTTATTGGCGTTTGGATTGTTTAAGGCTGAGCCACTCAAACATAGCTAGAGATGGAACTGAGTCATTAGACTTTTACCTCGAGCTGGGCTATTCTCAACTTTAATTTCTGTCTTTCAGAATGGAGATGTGTGTATTTCTATTCTTCATCCGCCTGTAGATGACCCACAAAGTGGAGAGCTACCATCTGAGAGGTGGAACCCTACCCAAAACGTCAGGTAACAGTGTGGACCAGTGATGTATAAAGCTGACCTCAAAGGCCTGTTGTCTATCTCCTAGACTAAAGCCTGTGCTAGGAAAAGATTTGGAAGGAAATTTAAGATGTGAAGTTGTTTTTTGTCAGAGTTACCAAGCTATGTGAAGTTACTAGAGTGTTGTGTGTCCTGACATTTTATTAATAATTTACAGTCTTCTTTCCTGTTTTCATGTTCTTAAAGAAAACTATTTCAAATGATTTAGCTTTTCCCAGGCAATGTTATCCTACACTTAAGTCATCCAAATTCTTCAAAGATACCAATAGAAGAAAATAACATCTTTGAGTATTCAGGCCCAGCAGGAGTAATTCTGTGTGTAATCCTTCCTACAGTTTGCCTTCTAATTGCATGTTCATATTTCCTGTCCTGTAGGGTGGTGTCTTGAGCTGTAAGCTAGGTAGTTCTCTTGCTACCAAAAACAAGGTTCATTAAGTAGTAGAGCCATTCAAGGCTAACATATCAACTTTTTTAAAACATCAACTGGATTTCATTCTACTTTCAAGACACTGCCAATAAGGAACTGGTAACACAAGTATCAAATAGCAAATCGCTGATGTGCAGCAGGAGCGATATAGTAGAAAAACTTTGAACTCAGATACTTCTGTTCTGACTATTTAGTGTGATTCATTATCTAAATAAGGTTAAAATAATTGCTCCTAAATTTTTCCAGTATCACACAGGAATTGTTTTCAGAGTTGTTATGTGTTAATTCCTTAATTTTAAATTTCTCTTTTTTTTTAATTGGTAGATCCAGCTAGGGATCTCCTTCCCTGTTAGGGAATGCAGCATTTTGAAAAGAGTTCTCTGATAGTTTGATTCTGCTTTTATCTAACTTGGATTCATTAAATTCCTTTGAAAAGAGCCTTTGTCAAAGCAGAGATGAGGGGGAGAGTATACTGAATTCTTGACCCTGGGAATGGGGTAACTGCAAAATGCTGAACTATAACTAATGTGGCAGGAAACTAGGAATTGTAACAGTCAGAAAATAATAACAACTGATGTTCCCTCCCAGTGCATACTACTTAAAAGTTAAAAAGGTTCAAGAGATGGTGTGTCTTAGCTGTGTGAAGTCATAAAGGGCTGGGAATTTTACCTTAAAAGTTTAAGGTAAATGTTATCTAATCAATCTGTCCCAAGTACAAATGTATGAAGCAATCTTTCGAAAGTTATAGTTCAGAATTGTTTTTTTATTTTATTAAGTATCTTAAATAGTATTTTAAATTATATATTGCTGAACATTCAGTTGTTCTTCTGTTCATGTGGCTATTAAACTGTTTTTTCATACATTTGATAGGTTATCTCCTCCAGTTGTTACAACTAGATGACAAGCCTCAAATCATAGCTAAGAAATAGCTTTGAGCATTAATTTAGATTGCACAAACTTTTTGACTATTTAATTATATACAGTATGAGGTTTGACATGAAATTTATCTTGCTAGTTCTGATTGCTGCTTTTCCTTACTGTGGTGCAGTTTTTGCTGCTTACTCTCTTGGAACGTATTGGCTTAAGGGTGACATTTGGGGAGAAAACATTCCTCAGATGCATTGGCAAGCAGAAATGAAACTTGTCCTTAACTTCTAGCCCACTGCTGGTGTCACCCATTGGGTTAAGTGCTGCATAAACACTTCCTGCTGGAATCCCATCTGGCTTTGCAAGGCTCCAGTGTCTGTCAGATCAGAGGCAGCAGGACTGAAGGTGCATGAGGGGAGTATGTTTGTGTGTAATGAGCTGCATGCATAGCCTGGGCTTTGTCTTCTGTTGATTAATTTTGTAAATCTTGCTGAGTATTGACAGTTTACTACAGGTGACTATGGTTGGGGGGGGGACATTCTTCATCTTTGAGAACACTTGAGCTTCCACTTCTAAAGAAAGGTGTCAAGCATACTTTTTTTTTTTTAACAGTAAATACGAACTTTCCTATCACTCAGAGCTAGCCAGGCAGTTTTTCCAGAGCTGATTATATCCTTTGGAAAACAAATTGGAAAAGACTCCTGATAACTGTGCTGAGCAGTCTAGCCAGACACAAGTGTTTAGTTTCAAAACCTTTCAAGAAGCTAAGCATCTGAATGGCCAAGCATTTCCTGGAATAGTATCTCAGTTATGTGATTTGTTAGATGTGCTCAGTATGTACTGCTCTGAATTCACCTCTAAATCAATGTGAGTAGTTTCCTTTATCAAGTTAAGTAGATCAGTTGCTATGCACTGCTGTGTTTCAAGACCTATTACTTGTCTCTGTTCTTTCCTTCAATTTAACCTGAAAGCTCTTGCCAGTGCAGAGGTTCATAGGAAACACAGTATCACGGAGTTAACTAGATCAATCTATGCCCGTGACAGGGGGCAGTAGGCCCCTGGCCCCACAAAATGGGAAGGAAGGAAGGGAGGAAAAAAACAGCGGCAACAATCTATGGAGGAAAACTTATTTTACTAACTATGATATCGGAATGCAAGATAACACAATATAACACAATCTAATTGAAATTGAGACTAATAAATAAGATAGGAGAGAGAGAGCTCCTGAGACCGAGTCAAACCTGAAAAGCTTGGAACGGCTGGGAAAGCACCTCCAGCACCCACTGCCAGGCAGTAAGAGACCGCCCCACCCGGAAGGGTCAGATCCCATGACTTCCGTAATGTACAGGGGACTGTTACCTGGAACTGGAGCATTAATACTTTAACTCCCAGTGCACTACATGATGTTATGATGCGGAATACTGAAAACCAAAAAACACAAAACCATGACACACAGGAGCAGGAGCTGAGCAAGAGAGATGGTGTTGTTTCTCATTGAGTGCTTGCAGAGGGATGTACCCAGTGTCAAGGTTATCTCTAGATCTATCTTTGTCTTTGACAGGGGGACAGCAGGCCCGCTGGCCTGAAAGGAGGGAGGGAAGGGGGAGAGGGAACAAAAGGGGGGAAAAAACGAGGAAAAAAAATACAGTGGCAGTGATCTGAGGAGGAAAACAAACTTAATTTATTAACTATAATAGCAGAAATACAAGTTAATTGAGATTGAAGCTAATAAATCAAATAAATGAGAGAGTTTCTGAAAACTAAGGTTCTTACTCTGATCTGCCAGGGAGCAAAGAGCTAGTGTCATGACTTCTGGTCAGTTTTATCTTTCCCACTGACCGGAAAATGGAAATGGAACTGTGGGAGCTGTAGTACATTTTCTTCTCTTCTGAGACTCCCAGTGCACTAAATTATGTGATGATGTGGAATATCAGTAATAAAAATCATAAAGCCACGACACCCAGCTAGCTCAGTGCTGTTGTTAGAAGTCCAGGAAAGCTGCCAACTGGAGTTACATGACTGGCTTGTGCTGGTTTTGCTGAGGACAGGCAGCCAGAACCTGGTGGACGCTTGGTGGTTTGTCTGGGTGTTGAAAAGCATCTGCATTGCTTTCCCATTGCTGTGCATGCTGCTTTAGTAGCCCTGGAGGTACACAGGCTGAGGAGAGGTGATATCTGGCTGAAGCTCCAGCCTCTGAGCTCCCAGCAGGGTAGGGAAGACAGCACAGTTTGGTCAAGGGCCTTGGGTTGCAGTGGTCCCCTTGCTATTTAGAGGGACATGCAGTGGTCCTTGCTATGTAGGACAGGCAGAATCCAACTTTCTGCTGGGAAGCTGAATGTTGACAGGAACAGGCTCACCAAGCATGTTTCTAGCCCTGCACCATCCACAGGCAACATGCATTAGGTGAAATCTAGCCTGAGCTGAGCTCTGCTGGCCACCCCATCACAGACACATGAACAGAAGTGATGGGCCAGGTGCTGGAGTACACTTGGCTTTGCACTCCCACTCTGCACTTGTGCTCCTCTTCTTCTTGCTAGGATACAAGCTCTTGGATAAGGTAGCACAGGAAAGGCCTCTGCAGTTCAGTCTGGGAACCCTTGGGCATGGTAGCTGGAAGATTCCAAACTAGTTAATCTGCAGAAATGCTTCCAAACTAGTAGTGTCCCCCATTTGGGTCTTCAGAGGTGCTAGGGCCACCCAAATATCTTCATGATTTTTGCTTTTAGATGTTTTGGAGTGCTGTCTGTAGTCAAATCAGGTCCTTGAGATCTGCATTGCATCATCTTTCCTGTGCTGACAGATGTGGTCTGAAACTGATAAATACCTGCATTCACATCAACTACTAGTCAGTTATCTTTAGCTTAAGCTTTGCCTTCAAACAATTCACTTTGATGCCTTTCTGATGCATTGCCTGAAGTTGTCAGCAGAATCCATGAGTACTTTCACTCTGACCCTACTGTTGTGGTTACCTTTTTCAGGACTATCTTACTGAGTGTAATCTCTTTGCTTAATGAGCCCAACACGTTCTCTCCTGCCAATGTGGATGCATCAGTCATGTTCAGAAAATGGAGGGATAGTAAAGGAAAAGACAAGGAGTATGCTGAAATCATAAGGTAAGTTTTGCTGTGTGCTACCAGCCTCCTGCTTTGCACTCTACAATACAGACTACTTGTAGAACTTGCTGAAAACAACTTCTCTCTGTGGTTGCTTCTTTAGAAATGAATTTTAGAGTCTTATTTCAAGTCCAGGTGTCTGGTCTACTTAGGTTTTTCAGCAAAGAATTGGTGCAGGCTTCTGGAGCAGAAGGATCAGGCTGATCTGTATTTGAGTTGTTGTAGTGGTGTGGTTTTGTTCGTTTTTTTGGTTGTTTTTTTTTTTTTTTTTTGCGGATTAATCTGGCATGATGCACTGCAAAACCTATTGGCTGCTCATAAATCACAGTTAGAATTTGTACTTGCCTTTAAAAACACTGCCTGCATTGCTTGGGATATGATTCAAATTGACTGCAACCTTCTAATTGTGTGCTTAATGCGCTCATGAATCATAATCTTGTCCCTCCAGTTTGAAGGACTATCAGCAGGATTTGGCAAGTGTTTGCAAAGCTTGGGGTTTGATTAGCTCGAAGCACTTCAGTCTTGACTCTCCTTTGCTCAGAAGTTCACGGTTTATCAGGTGTTGTTGGAAGACAATATAAATGTGAGCCAGGGTGGTTTGGAACCATAAATGAGCAGCCTCTACTGCAGAGTGGCTGCTGCCACACTTGTCTGGCAGAAAAAAAGCACATCAGCATTGACTCAGCTAGCTGGGCATGCAGGATATAGGTTGGAGCTAAGCAGTGTGGTTGCCGACCTGAACTATGTGAAGAGCTTCACTGGAGGTTCTTAGTCCCTGCCAGCTCCATTGACTTTGGCAGAGCTGAATTTATTCCACAAGCAGGAGCTCAGGATGAAGGGGCCAGCAAGAGGGGGCACTGCCAGCTACAGCCCAGCCCCTCTGTCCTGAGCTGACAGCAGTGCTTGTATCTGGGGGCCAACAAGACAATGTCAGGGTTACAGCTGTGCCCCAGGGTGCAGCCCCACACTCCTGCTGCCCTCGCCATCTCGTGGGAGCTCAGAGGTGCCAAATACTTCTGGAAATCCTGGTATTGAGCATACTGGGATAGTTTCCTCCACCACTGAAGACTGTGGGATAGTATCTCTGAAACCATCTCAGTAAGTCATCTTGAGAGATCTTTGAACAGCTCTTCTCTAGCAAGACAGTTAATGTAATGAAACTTGCTCTGAGCTCTGTCAGACCTCTAATGCAGAGTCCTGTACAATAATTGGCTTCATACGTTGCTGGAAGTATACATGCTGCAAACTTGGAGTACTTCTGGACTTGGGGCTATGAGAATGAAATCTCTTGCTGCTGGTGGCAGTGCCTCTGCCAGACATGAGTGGTGGGTGAAGCAACTCTTCTAGCTGTATGCTACCAGGAGTGGGGGGCTGGGGGCCGCTGAGCAGTGGGGAGCTGCACATGTACCCCAGTCATGGTGTTCTGTCCTCCTCCTGCAGGAAACAGGTTTTGGCTACCAAAGCTGAGGCGGAAAAGGATGGCGTGAAAGTCCCCACTACACTGGCAGAATACTGCATCAAAACTAAAGTGCCTTCCAATGACAACAGTTCAGATTTGCTTTATGACGACTTGTATGATGATGACATTGATGATGAAGACGAGGAAGAGGAGGATGCTGATTGTTATGATGATGATGATTCTGGCAATGAGGAGTCGTGACCTGCTCTCTATGCGGTTGTACTGCCCTGCCAACTCAGGCCAGAAGGGAGCAGCAGTAACCTAGCAGCAGTCCAGCAAAAAAGTGTGTTGAGGGGGAAGGGATCAAAAAACTTTTGTCTCCTGCTGTCTCCTGTTGTATGGATCTGTTTGCTCCTTTTTTATGGACTTTTCAGAGCCTCTCCACAGAATGTCTGAAATCTTGCATTCTTAATCTTTTCATCACTGTATTATTTCTTTTCTTTTTTAAAAAGAAACTCCTTTTCACTTTATGAAACACTCACAGCGAATCAGATTTGCTTGTGTTTAGATTCTTGAATTAAATACAGTCTTGCATTGAGATGTTTAATGTATTTAAAGCTGGAACAAACCCAGTGGGCGCTGGGTTTTTGAGGAGCTCAAATTCTGCTTTGTGTGGATTTTTTCTTCCCTAGAAAATGCAAATTGCTGAGGTTTAGCTGCTCCGTTTACAGTAATAGCATGTGTACATTCATTTACCTTTGTGGTGATAGCTTGTTTTGTGGTTTTTTTTTGTTTTGTTTTGTTTTTAAGGTGTGGGTAGGGAGTGTAAAGCTACTGTCTGTTGAATTGGTGGGATGTTACTGAAAGGTACAGTATTCCTTTTTTAGCTTGCTCAAGACAGGAAATAGCTGGCCCTTGGAGCCCCAGAGGGCACAATTAGCTTTGTCTCTGAAAAATGCTTGTCCTATGATCCCTCTACTAAACACTTAAAACTTCATACCTGTACAACCCTAGGTTGCTATTTATTTATTTTTCCCAGACTGTCAGGATTAGAAAATAAAACGTCTAGTTTACCCATGCTGCTGAGACCTGCTGCCTCTCTCCAGATGGAGAGCAGACATGCATCTCGCTGCTGTGATGGCTGTCTTCTGTGGCCAGCTTTCATCTCAACCTTGCTTTTGGCAAGGATCTCTCTGATGGCTTCCTACTCCCATTCTCACTAGCAGCCAAGCTTCCTGCAGCCTGAATCCAGTGCTGCCTTGAGCCTTTTTTACTCTTGCTTGTGTACATCATGTGTAGGTAAGTGCAACTGTACTGTATGTGGGCTCTGTGGGGCAGGCAGAAGTCAGAGCTCCCTTTGGTGTTGCCTGCCCTGGACCTGGGATGGCTGCATGTGTAGTGGGCTCTCCCCTACCTTGCTGGCAGCCCCTGGGAAGACCAGTGGCAGGGTTTATCAGACTTCTCAACAGTGTGCCTCAGCTGGTGCCCTTGCATGTTTTTGGGAGTTATTGGTGGAGCTCACAGCTCTCCCTTGGGCAAGGCCATCCTGTATGTATTCTTCTGCAGAATCCTCTTTCTCAGCACCCTGACCATTTCGTGATGTGGTGATCAAGATTGGCTGTGGTGCAGTGGCCTGAATTCACCTTTAGGGTGATATCTTGATTGGCACCTGTCCTGCCTTTGCCTGCTGAGCCCTGGCACTGTGTGTTGCCCTTGAGGGCTGAGACTCTCCCCTCCCACTCCTTATAGAGGAGGCTGCCCTGATGAGAATTACTGCCTTCGGTGTTTGTGTCCTGCTTCATCTGTCTCAGAGTTCTCAATGGTACAGAACCAACTGCAGCATGGTAGTGGGAACAAGCTTTGTCCTACAGTGAGGCTCCAGGGCCTGTGGATATGTCCCTGGAACAGATGCAGAGGGGAGGAAAGCTGGCAATGCTACATGTGCAGCAATGTGTACCAGAGGTAGCAAGGTTAATGTTTGCAAAACACTGCACCAATCAATGTCTGGGTGGTCTTGCAGCTGCTAGGGAGGTAGGCACTGTGACAGTTTCCATGGTGATGTGCAGGCTGAAAATAGCCCTGGTGGTGGCACCTTATCCCTGAGGTCTGACCTGCTTTCATAGTATCCAATTGGGCTGTGTTAGTGCAGTTTCTGCTCATCTTCCCCTCCTGCCAGCAAAATGAACAGTGTGGTGTAGTGCTGGATGTGCTGCTGGCCTAGTTTGAAGTGAGGATACTGCACCTTTCAGATCTCCCTTGTACTTTTGCCTGTCTTCGCTATATATTTTCAAGTGTGATGTTGTAAGATTATCATGATTCTTCTAATAACCTTTTTAAAGGACAAAAAAAAATTTTTGAGAGCTCCTACAATTACCCAAACTAATTTCTCTTCTCCCTTCTCTCTCATTCCTTGTTGACTTGCTGTTTTTTTTTTAAAATAATTTCATGCTTCAGTTTGTTTTTGAAGCTATTTAAGAGATGGAAGAAAAATGTTTACCTGATCTGTATATTCTGTGGGTTTTTTTTTTTTCTTAATCCTTTTCTCTTGTCTCAGTCCATGTTAGCACTTATTTGCAACTACAATCCCTCTTCAACTGTGGTTTTCAACCTTTCTGAAATGAGGGGATACACTAGGTTTCTTTCTTGCTGAAATCCCAGCTGTTTTCCTTTTTTCTTCAGTATAATTTTCCAGAAAGCATTAACTGATGCATTTTTATGTTGTATTCCTCATCAGCAGTAATGTTATTGTCTTTTCTGCACATCTGTCATCTAATAAAAAATGTGAAATAAGTAGCCATATACTGTTAGGTCTCTCTTAATTGAGCTGTTTTATTTGCATGTGTTGCGGTTTTAACCACGACAGGACAAGGGAGCCCCTTTCTCCCCTTTCAGAGAGAAGGAAAGAAAAATGACCCAATTAAAATAAGGACAGATAACAAATTTACTATAAATGGTAAAAGAATGTAAGATAATAAGAAAGAGAGTTACAATTAACTGAAATGGGAGAGAGAGGAAGGCTATGACCATGCTGCTGCTCAACTGTACTCCTGGAACCCAGAAGAAAACTTAATTGTCAACAGTTTATGGGCTGGTTCGGCCCATGTCCGTGACTAGCGGGGCGCAGGGACCCACGGACCCACAGACTGGGAAAGGGAAAAAAGGGGAAAAGGGTAGAGAGATGGGCCCCCAAAACAAAACAGCAGCAACGATCTGAGGAGAAACAAACTAGTTTACTAAATAAGATATCAAAATGAAAGATAACACACCATAATACAATGTAACACAATATAATTAGAATTGGAGCTAATAAATCAAATATAATGAGAGAGAGGATCCAAAAGCTGAAGGCCTTATTCTCATTCATAGGCGAGATGGCACCTGCAACAGAGATGAGCCAGATGATGAAAAAAGGTCAGGGAAAGTGATCTGCACGTTTTTATCTTTTCCTTCTGAGCTGCAAAAGTAATAGATCAGTGAACAGTCATAGGGGGGATGTAGTTCTTATTCTCTTCTGAGACAGGTACCCAGACCTGGAGCATTAACACTATGACCCCCAGTGCACTACATGATGTTATAATGTGGAATACCAAAAACCAAAAATAATAAAACCTTAACATTCCACCCTTATTCCACATCACTACATCATGCTTAATATATAGAAACAAACAATAATCAACAAGCATTAAACACATACGCACACATACATATACATGGAATTACTGACTGCACATCAAATTTCCTTGTGGTACTCATTGAATGTCCCTATTTTTCTCCATCACCTACCAAGTGGACACAGGTCCCTGGGCAAAAACAGTTCCACCGAGACGTTTACCCTTTCCAGAAGCGGGAAAGACCCAAACTGCTTTTCCAAACATGCTCTTTACATGAACTACAGGAACCTTATCTCCCTGTACAGTATGTAGGGAGCTGGATTGGGTAGGATCATCGCGATTGATAGACCCCAGACTGTTGAACAACTAGGTGGCTTCTGCCAAGTACTTCTCCCAATGCTTAAATATAGAAGGGTGAAATAATTCACCCTTGTGTTGCCAGTCCAAGTCTATTTGAGCCACCTCAATTTTGGCAGCTTGATCCACCTGATGGTTATTTTGTTGTTCTTCAGTAGCCCGACTCTTGGGCACATGAGCATCTACGTGGCGCACCTTTACAACCATATCCTTTATTCGGGCAGCAATGCCTTTCCACAGTTCAGCAGCCCAAATAGGTTTACCCCTCTGCTGCCAGTTATTTTGCTCCCACTGCTGTAACCACCCCCATAAAGCACTTGCCACCATCCATGAGTCAGTGGACAGATAAAGCATTGGCCACCTTTCCTGCTCAGCAACATCTAAGGCTACCTGGACAGCCGTTACCTCTGCAAATTGGCTTGATTCTCCTTTCCCTTCAGTGGCCTCTGCAACTAGTCGTCTAGTTGCATCTAGATGCCTCCAGCCGGCATCAGTAGCATGATGGGTTGAGGGAACCTTTCCCTTAAAATTCCAGTTCAGCACTGGCAATTGAGGTTGTAGAAGGAGCTGCATTTCAGTGCCAACTACTTTGGAAGCTGCCCGAACCCCCTCATATGCGGCTAAGATCTCCTTTTCAGTTGGAGTGTAGCCCTCTTCAGACCCCCCATATACTCAACTCCAGAATCCCAGGGGTCAGCCTCGGGTCTCTCCTGAGGCTCTTTGCCACAAACTCCAAGTGGGACCTTTCCGTCCAGCAGCAGTGCAGAGGATGTTCTTTACATCCTGTCCCATCCGTACTGGTCCCAGGGCCACGGCACGGACTCTCTCTTGTTTAATTTGCTCAAAAGCCTGCTGCTGCTCAGGACCCCATGTAAAATTATACTTCTTCAATGTCACCTGATTAAGGGGACTTACAATGAGGCTGTAGTTTGGAATATGCATTCTTCAAAAGCCCACTGCGCCCAGAAAAGATTGTGTCTCTTTTTTATTAGTGAACCGAGACATGGCAGTGATTTTGTCGATCACATCTGTCGGGATGTGACGACATCCATCTTGCCACTTTATACCTAGGAACTGAATTTCCTGGGCAGGTCCTTTCACTTTGCTTCGCTTAATAGCAAAACCAACATGCAGAAGGATCTAGATTATTTGCTCTCCTTTCTCAAAAACTTCCTTTACTGTATTGCCCCACACAATGATGTCATCAATGTACTGTAAGTGCTCAGGAGCACCGCCCTGTTCCAGTGCAGCTTGGATCAACTGATGGCAAATGGTTGGGCTCTCTTTCCACCCCTGGGGCAAACGATTCCAGGTATACTGAATGCCCCTCCAGGTGAAAGCAAACTTTGGCCTACATTCTTTGGCCAAAGGAATGGAGAAAAAGGCATTAACAATGTCAGTGGTAGCATACCATTTGGCTGCTTTTGATTCCAGTTCTTACTGGAGTTCTAACACGTCTGGCACAGCAGCACTCATTGGGGTGTGACTTCATTCAGGCCTCCATTCTCCACTGGCTTTACGCACTGGCCATATGGGAATATTAAAAGGTGAATGAGTTTTGCTGATCACTCCCTGACTCTCTATTGACGAATCTACTTCTGAATGGGGAGCAAGGAATCCCTGTTGGTGCGGTACTGCCGTCTGTGCACCGTTTTTGTGGCAATTGGTACCTGCTGCTTTTACTTGTAGCAACCCCACAACAGACGGATCTTCTGACAGGCCAGGCAAAACAGACAATTCCTTAACACCTTCTGTGTCTACAGCAGCTATTCCGAAGGTCCATCAATACCCTTTGGGATCCTTAAAGTATCCCCTTCTGAGGTAATCAATACCAAGTATACATGGAGCCCCTGGGCCAGTCGCAATAGGGTGCATTTGTATGTTATTGATCTGTATACTATGGATACAGATATTGATGAGGAGTACATTCAGGGAGACTGACAACATGATCATATGAGCATTCAAAAATGCATTAAAAAATCAAGGGAGAGACTGGAAGACTTGAAAAATCAAAAGTTCTGTAGAATTAGCAACTCCCTCTGAAAACAGTTCTAAGAGGGAAAGTGGTATCATTCATTCATTCATTCATTCATTCATTTATTTATTTATTTATTTATTTATTTATTTTCTTTACAGAAGCAAACTAGCAGTGCCCGAAAGTTTTCAAATGTCCCATAATATTGGCAGTCCACCTGGACTTTCCAGGTCGTGTTTTTCAGTACAGAAACCTGAACTACTGATAAAGTTTCCTATCGAATCTCTTCGAAAGCAGAGAAAGATTCATTCTAAAAGCCAAAAAGCATCCATTGCCTGCATTCTCCATCAAGAATGTCAACAGTTTATGGGCTGGTTTGGCCACAGATACCACTTGGTTAGTCTGTACTCGTGGGTCTGCTAATCAAGATGGCCTTGTCCAATCCAGCCTTGTACATACTGTAGAAGGGGATAAGGTCCCTGTAGTGCATGTAAATAACATACTGGTGAAAACCTCAGGCAAATACAAGACTACTTGTAGGGTTGCTTTTGCTCAGGGACCTGGATTTACTTGGTGGATAATGCAAGAAAAGGGGAACATTCTGTGCGTACCTCAGGGTAATTTGATGCTAAGAGAAAACAGTCAGTAGTTGTATGTACGTATGTAATGTTAAGTATTTTTGTTAAGATTTCTGTGTGTATATATTGTATTGTAAAATTTAAGCATGATGCAATGATATTGAATAAGGGGTGGATAATGTCCGGGTTATATCAGTATTCCATATCATGACACCATGCAACAGGCTGTTGGGTGTAGAGAGACAGTGCACTGCGAAGCTGTACTTCCTAGTCTCGTTTTCTCTAGCAGTCTCGCATGACTCTGACTCTCCCAGAGAAAGATACACTGACATGTACTACATTTCCCAAGGGCCTCGACATGATCTAAAATCACAGATGACAAAGATGAAGTGTCATGGTTTTATGATTTTTGGTTATCAGTATTCCACATCATAACATCATGTAGTGCACTGGGAGTTAAAGAGTTAATGCTTCAGGTCTGAGTGCCTGTCCCAGAAGAGAACAACTACTACGTTCCCCAGAAGACTGTTCTATGTTCCGTTATCATTTCTGCTCAGGGGGAACAGATAAAGGACTTCATAGGTCACCTGTCGTATCTTTCGATCGTTGAGGGAACTGGGCTTGTTTGTCTTGGAGAAAAGAAGGCTCCAGGGAGCCCTCATTGTGGCCTTCCAGTAATTGAAGGGAATTGCACTCCTGCAAACAGGAGAGGGAATGGCTGTTTACGAGGCTGGATAGTGATAGGACAAGGGGGGATGTTTTTAAACTGAGACAGGGGATGTTTAGGTTGGATATTAGGAGGACGTTTTTCACAAAGAGGGTGGTGAGGCACTGGAACAGGTTGCCCAAGGAGGTTGTGGATGCCCCATCCCTGGAGGCATTCAAGGCCAGGCTGGATGTGGCTCTGGGCAGCCTGGGCTGGTGGTTGGCAACCCTG